GTCTTGTTAATGATTGGCTATGCTTGTAATAGATGCTGCTGCTTTTGACATTGAAATGAAGCATAATCATTTGAGAAATGCTACAGTTGGAAAGTTCACAAAGAAATACAGGAGAAATAAACTTGGTGTGCCCAGCTCCAACTCAGCTATCAGATCCACACATAGCACCAGCCCCAAACCCTGCCGGGTCTTCACCATCCCCCCAGACTTCCCCCTCACTGAGGACGAGCGGTCAGTCCTCAGCAAAGGACTCACCTTCATTCCCCTCCGCCCACACATCAATGAATTCCGTTCACGCTTGGACGTCGAACACTTCTTCTGCCGCCTCTGCCTCCGCGCCTATTTCTTTATCCGCCAGTCTAACCCACCCTCCTACAAACCCGTTCTCCCGCCTCCAACACATCCCATCCTCCTGGTCACCACCTCAAGGCTTCCTACCCTCCCTTGACCTCTTCATCTCCAACTGACATTGCGCATTGATCGCCTCAACCTCCTCACCCCTCTCACTTACACCAACCTCTCCTCCAGCTCCACACTGTGTTATCTCTGACTGGAGCATCTGCAGTTCTTACTATCTCAGTGAGCAAAATTTTTTTTGCAGAAAAGAATCAAATAAGCTGAAGCAAGAATTAATAAACTGAATTAACTCCAGCTGTAAGCATTGCTTTTTGGTATGATTTATTGCAACTTCTCTGATATACAGAAAGCTCTGATGCATTGATTTCCATTAGATCCAATGGAAGCCCACAGGGCAACATAAATGCAGTTCAGGTATTCAAAAACGCACACAAATCCAGAGAAATTAACATTATCTAGGATTACTTAAAACAAGTTAATTATATATGTCCTGTTAATAAATATTTCAAAAGATGCACAAGAGTGCAGCATTCAAAGACATTTAAAATAGGGAAAAAGGTACGAGTGGGAAGCAGATAAACCAGTTGTATGAAGGCCATTATAACGAAAACAGATTATGAGCACAAGAAACAGAAGATCGAACTTTATTCGGGTCCAAGTCCTGTTTTCTGTCTTGGACAAATGTGGAAATGAGGCTTTATCATGAATTTTCGACATGAGAGAAGGAAAAGGTGGTACAAGAGATACAGCAAGCGAAAGGGTAAGAGTGAAAATGCCAGAAGTAAAAAGCAGGTGAGACAACATATGTGCAGAGAGAAACAGAGTTAACGCTTCGGTATAATGATCTTTCCATCGAAGTATGTTGTGACGGGGGAACAGAGAAATGAGCTTTCAGCCCTTGGGGCAGCGATGCTGAAGAAGAGGCTGTGGTAATGGATTGTTGACACATTGCTTCGTTAACGGATTTTGAATATTAATCGTGAAACTATCTTTAGAAACGCCGTTTGCAAGTATTTTAAACTAATTGGATGGTTAAAGAATTCAGAGACTCTTCACTCTTTCGACTTCTTTCACGAAACTGCAAAAAAGAAACTAACCAACCTCCAGAAGGGAGCGGACGCAGACAAATGGCTGGGGCCGAAAGAAACAAGTGTTGAAAGTCTCGCACACGGGTGGACCCAAGCATGCCGCTTTCCTCTGGAAGCTGCCGTGACATTAGAGATGTCAGTCGTTAACCCTGGACCCCCTCGTCCAGGTGGTCCGGCAGCTCAGCTGGCCCCACCCCACCTCCTCCGCGTGCCATTGGTCCCGAAACCTGTCAATCCGGATTCCCGGCCTTGCCGTTGGTGCTCCCAGCCATCAATCACTGGGGAGAGGCGGGGCCGTGGATCGAAGCCGCAGGGTGGGTGGTCCGCGAGACGGTTTGACGGTTGGTGACCCCCACCCCGTGACCCCGGCCGTTATGTCTCGAGGCCGGCGGCAGTTACCGGGTCCCGCCGGCCGCGCTATGATGGCGACGCTGCTTCTGTAAAGGACGATTCCCTCAACCCTCCCCCGCCTCCCCCCAAACAGCCTACTCACACCGGTTGAGGAGAGGGAGAACGGGTAACACCAAACCCCTCCCTCCCCACGGAGGAGGAGTGGTGGGGGGGGCCTCATCCCGGTGAGCGTGCGGCGTAACGACGAGGGAGAAGCGACGAGCTGCGGCCCACAGAAATGCATAGCCCCAACGCATGGATAAGGGGAGGGGAGCCTGATGTTTCCATGGAAACGGGCCGCACCCTGGGATGCTACCCACTCCATCCATTAATGCTGCTGCAGCTCTTTCAAGACCTGCAGCCAGTCCCCGAACCTGTTGACTACAATACCGTACGCTTTTTTGACCATCACGTTTGCTGCCGGCCTTAACTGCAGGTCTGGCTTCCTTTTATCTGAGAGGACAACCAGGTGGTTGTCAAGGTGGCGGTTTGGATTGATGGTGCACCAAAGTGTGGGTCACTGTTGCACTTCGGCTGTACCATGACTTGACGGAGCGGATGTGCAACTCCTCATCAGGAGTTCAGTTACTGAAGAGGTTACAACTACAGGACTGTAGAAATGATTCAGCACAGAAGGGGACCCTTGGGCCCATCTTGTCTATGCCAACCAAAGTCACCCAGATTTCCTTCCTAAACCCATCTTCAAGCCCATGGACCCATATCCCTGCAGCTTACATACTTACACATACTTTTAAGAAAGTGTTTGGGTCTCTGTCTCCACCACTAACTCAGGCAGCGAATTCCAGACACCCACCACTTTGCACAAAACATGTATTTCCTCATGTCCCCTTTACTCTTTCTGCCGCTTAGCTTGTATCTATGACCCTTGATGTTCAAACTCTGTGCCAAGGGAAGCAGGTTCCTCTTGCCTGATCTATCTCTATTGCTTGCAATTTTGCAGACTTCAATCATGTCACCCTTTAGCCTTCTCTATTCCAAGGAAAACAACCCCAACGTCTTCAATCTCTCCTCATAGCAGCAATTCCTCAGCTCGGGCAACATTCTACTAAATTTTCTCTGCACCTTCTCCAGAGCTGGAGTGCCCAGGAGGCTGAGAGGTGACCTTATAGGGGTTTATAAAATCATGAGGGGCATAGATAGGGTAAATAGATAACGTCTTTTCCACAGGGTGGGGGAGCCCAAAACTAGAGGGCATTGCTTTAAGGTGAGAGGGATAAAGATTTAAAAGGAACCTAAGAGGCAACTTGTTCAAACATAAGGCATTACGTGTATGAGCTACCAGAGGAAGTGGAGGAGGCTGGTACAATTACACCATTTAAAAGGGTATATTAATAGAAGGGTTTAGAGGGATATAGGTCAAATGCTGGCAAATGGGATGAGATTTATTTAGGATATCAGGTCGGCATGGATGAGTTGGACCGAAAGGTCTGTTTCCATGCTATATATGTCTATGACAGCAATTGCGTCCTTCCTGTACTATGGTGACCAGAACTGCACTCAATACTCCAGTTGTGGCCTCACCTGTATCTTATACAATTTCATCATTGTATCCCTACTTTTGTATTCTGTACCTCTGCCAATGAAGGAGTGCAATCATATGTCTTTTTTACCACCGAATCTACCTGGACTGTGACGTTTGAGGACCTGTGCATTCGCATGCCAAGATCTCTCACTTCATCTACACCTCTCACTGTATTCCATTTTATTGTATGTTCCCTTTAACTGTTTGACCTCCCTGAACGCAATCTCTCACACTTCTCAGAGTTGAACTCCAACTGCCACTTTCCTGCCCATTCCACCAACCCAACTATATTATTTTGGAGCTTACAGCTATCCTCTACACTATCTGCCACATGGCCAATTTGTTTTGTCTGCAAATTTCCCAATGTGCCTCCCAGGTTCAAGTCCAAATCGTTGATGTATACTGAGCCCTGTGGAACACCACATGAAACAGCTTTCTTTTCACAAGGGCTGCCATCCACCATGACTGTTCGTTTCCTGTTACTTAGCCAACTTTGGATCCAATTTGACACATTACCCAGTATTCCATGGCTTTTTCAACCTGTGGTAGTTTTTGAAATGCCTAACTAAAATCTTTAATATAGACAATATCCACTGCACTGCCCTCTTTGATCCTCATCACTTTCTCAAAGAATTCAATCAAATTTGTAAGGCATGGCATTCCCTTACCAAAGCTATGCTGACTATCCCTGACAAGTCCATGCCTTTCTAAGTGAATGTTATTGTATTCCAGTAAGGCTGTCCGAACTGATACTGCACAACTGAAGTGCACCATCAAACCAAGTCTTAAGATGGCCATTCAGTCTCCCAATTGGAGCAAGGATTTAAATTTGTTGTCTCCAGACACCATGTGACCATATCAGTGGTGCTACCAGATGTATTTCTTGTTTGACTGGAATAGTCCTTGACGTGGTGGTGTTCAGAAGAATGAACAATGTCATTGAATCTTAAAAGATACTGCGAGGATCTGACCAGTTGTGGGATTATCCTAGAAGAATAGACAGTTAGGGGAAGGGATTTGAAGGATTTGGTGGAGGCTAAATATAAGGACATTCTAACTTATGTTATCACTTCACTGAAAAGGAAGCTGTCATGACTTGATAAAGAAACCATAACTAAAATCGAGCAAATTAGCAAAGCGTAAAGTTCTTCCAAAGCTCACTTATACACCTTATCAAGTATATGGCTCACAAAAATGTTACAATCAGTGTTCGCATTGGTTTTCAACAATGTGTACAGCGGACAAAATAAGATTGCTTGAATTGTGAAAAAAATGGATTGACATTGATTAACATTTAAATTTGAGGCTTGCTAGGATGTGGGAAGTAAATTGAGCAGTCAATGGTAGTGTTGCAAGAAGAGCTTTGTCTACATTGAAAGTTGTCGACATTGAAAATGATGTGGAAAGCAGCTTCAGTAGCAGATGGCTGAGGTAGAACTTAAGGCTGGCCAAGTTGTGGAGCTGGAAGGCATCTGTGTCATGGGAGATATTGTTCAGAATTTTAGATTGGAATCAAGCACCATATCAAATGTGAAGAGCGAGCTTCTTGTTGAGAAAGTGACTGGTGAATGACGTGGGATTGTTGGTAAGTTAATGGAGTTTGTTTGCTGAGGGCAAAGTCAATGGCTTCAGTTTTCCAGATGTTTGAAATAGAAGACAGAAAGTTATCCGTGAGTGGATGGCTGGCAGATGGTTTGAACTCCACACTTCCCCATCATTCCATCAAACTGCCTTGCGAATAAGTGCATTTTTTTTCAGCATCTATTTGAAAACTATTGTACATGTTGATCATTGCCAGCAAGAAGCAGTTTGTTTTCTCACTTCAAAACAAAAGCGACTGATCATCAGTTTCGCCTTGTGTCTCGTTGTTCTAATTATACAACAACAAACAAAGCCATTGGCCCATCCTGTCTGCCTCCCAGCTCTTTCGTAGGAATTCATGCCACTCTGTTGCTCAATCCTCATTATCTTGCAGATTTTATCGCTAATGTTGGCACCTTGTTCCAGATTTACCTTTGAGTCAAGACACATTAATAGTACCTTCTAAATACACTTGAGTCAACAGTAATGATGTGCTCTATGCTTAAACTATTCCCAATTTTTGTTACATGAGCAACTTTTCATGTTTTCAAACACAATTGAAGTTTGGGAAGACAATTTTTTCACAACTCAAGCAATCTTGTTTTGTCAGCTGTATACATTGTTGAAACCCAATGCCAACACTGATTGTAACATTTTTGTGAGCCATATACTTGATAGGTTGTATAAGTGAGCTTTGGAAGAACTTTGGACTTAGCTAATTTGCTCAATTTTAGTCATGGTTTCTTTATCAACCCATGACAACTTCCTTTTCCATGAAATGATAACAAGTTAGAACGTGCCACCTTGACATTGAGATAGAATGTCTTTAATTCTCACACCTATGTTTAACACTGGCTGCCAAAATATTTTTACAACATGTTGTGGAAATCAAATCATATGTAATTTTTTGTGCAAGGAATCATAATCTTGAAGTTGCACATACATTTTGGATTCAAGATTTAGAAGTGGAGTAGGGAGTGATTGAAGTCAGGATTATGATTATGAAGCTGTTGCTTTAAAGGAAATAATCAATTTTTTCCTGCTAATGTTGTCCCCCATTTTGTTATGTATCACATCATAAATTGCTGTAACCCTGAAGTGCTCGCCTAACTCAGTTTTACATCTATATTTGTTTATCTTTTTCCTGATTTGCAGTCATTGTAATATGCAATGTTTCTCTTGCAGATGATTTAATTTGGAATATAATGTCGGAGTTCAGCAACATCTATTGTTTACTCTACTGAACCAAAATCTGAGTCATCCTTTGTGGGAAGACAGAATTAAACTTAGCACAAGTCTTGCATTCCATCTTGAACCAAACTACTGCACCATAATACATGCAAAGGGTAAGGAAAAAGACTCTGAATCATCATCATTGGTGATCATAACTGGTCTCAGTCTGAACAGCAGCAGTGGTTCTCCGGCATGGGGGAGAGGAATGACAGTCAAGTACGTGGTGTAGGTCCCTAATGATCCCTGCTAGCTATGTATAAAATAAACATTGAGTGAGGAAACATATAGACTGAATAACAACCTGATTCATGGTTAATATTCACTGTCTAAACTCCTCAGCAGAGATTTCTGTTTTTAGATTTGTGGTTACAGAATGTCAACCCAGCTGGGAAAACCTCTAGGAGGAGCTGTATCATTGTCACAATGCTTAGTTTACACAGTATCATAGAAGTATGTGCATTACTGAGTGCCCTCTTCACCTGCTCTTCTTCTCCCTCCAGCAGCTCGTCAGTGTTCTTATTTTGTCTCCAAGATTAGAGGCAAAGTTGTTGCTACTTTCACTAAATTAACAGCCAATTGACTCTTTAAATGAATAAGAATAGAAAAACTTGGAGAATTTTTCTTTACCCCATCCCGCACTACCGACCCCTTGCTTACTTTGATGGTTTGCATTGCCCAGAATGGTAATATCCACTTGGCTGCATGGATGTTTAACTGGTGACGGTCGACAGTCAAAAACAGAAAGAATGTTACAGTGATTAGGTGGTGGGAGAGCCTTTTGGTCGTGTGCGATAATTCTTCCAGATATTAATAAGATTTGGAGGGGTTTTTTGTGGTGCAGTGGTAGTGTCCCTACCTTGGAGCCAGGCCACCTGGTTCAAGTCCCACCTGTTCCAGAAGTGTGCACCAACACTGCTGAAAAGGTGTGCTGTGACAGTAGTGTGTGAAAATGGGTGAAATGCATTATGATACAGACAACTATATCTACAGCAACTGTTTGCAGATTGAGCAACTGATGCTCAGAGTTGTTGAGCTTGAGTGTCAGTTTCTTAAGTTGCAGAACATCAGGGCGAGGAAGCGTGACATGGACATTGTATTCCAGGGGGGGATTTGTGCCCAGTAAACATTAGAGTTAACCAATCGTCTGGCATGGAAGAGTGTGACAGTGAATCAAGCAACAGGTATCCATTAAGTCATAATGGAAGAGTCTCAGCCACTGATTTTTACCAGATGTTTTGAGGTTCTTGCTGCCTTATACGGATGAGAACAGAGACTGCAAGGTGAATGAGCAAACAGACCATGGCAGCATGTTGCAAGATGCCATTTAAGTGAGCAAGCAAAAGGTAATATGTAGTGACAGTCAGAAGTAAATACCATTTTCCATAGGAGGATGCAGGAGCTCCAAAGGTTGTGGTGCATTGTCAATGTTAGAGACTAGGATATCTCTTTGTGACTGGAGATCAGTGAGGATTCAATTGTCATGATCCACATTGAACCAAGAACAGTGGTAGAATTGGAAATAATTTTAAATGTTCCAGTCCAAATTAAAATGCTCAAATTCAGTGATAATAATCCCTGGACCGTTACCTGAGCCAGGCACCAACTGGTATTGTGTGAAGCAGATTTGAAAATTAAATGCATGGCTGAAAGAATGGCATGGGAACACAGCACTTCAATTCATGGCACTAGCACAAGATCACAAGCATAAATACTCGGGAAAGTGAGAACTACTTGGTTGGAATATATTCCAATTAAACTGGGCTGGGATCAATGTTCCAGTGAATTATAATTCAGACCATGAATGAAGTTTAAAACTAACTAAGGGGAGGGTTCAGACAAAGTGTACCAATGTCGTAACGCCGATCAAAGTAAGAACCGACAAAGAGTTCACCACCCGAGAAATTTCTGAGTTATCTGTGAAGTTTTGAATATACAACACCATTTCCTTCCTCCATTATTTCTGGCAGTGTTTTCCGGACAGAGAAACATACTTCTTGATCCAATAATACAATAAGTTCCTGCTTTCTGCTCCATGTTTGCTGTCTTTTTTTTATGTCACAGTAGTTTTCAACTTTAAGGTTGTTAACTAACTCCAGGAATTCCAAAATATCTACTTAAAATTGCATTTCGGTTATTTGCTACAGATTTCTGATTCTGTGGCTTTCATGGACAAAGACCTGTCCCTCAGTGCACCTCCTTCTGCTGTCAGTCCTGAAATTCCTCTTCCAACTGTTCCTACTCTCACTTTCCACAGTTCGTTTTAAACTGCTCCACCGTGAAACCCAGCCTGCATCTTCACCTGCCCCGTGACTCACTTCTCACTATTTCCCCTGTCCACTGTCTGTTGCTACCTTGAAGTCCCTGTTTTATGTTGCAAAGACCATTTTAGTTTCAGCTCCCTTTCCCATGTCTGAAGTCCTCGTCCCCATCTAGTGACAGAAGCTGGTGGTGCATAGGGTCCATGATTTTGGCAGTTACCTACATTGACCAATGTGGTGGTGCACAGGGTCCATGATTTTGGCAGTTACCTACATTGACCAATGTCTGTCACTAGATGGAGCCTGTTCCATCTGAAATTAAACAGACGAGTATAATTTCAACATTTATTTACAATGTTTTCATTTGTATTGCATTTCTGAAAAATTAAATATTTTTAAAACTTATTTTGTTCTTGTCAACATTGAGAAATGTATAGCATTTCAATTCAATGTTTAAGGTTCTGTGTAGAGAAATTTATTGGAAGTATCTTGCTGTACAATTTTTTTGTGTATTTAGTGATTTGTTTCATTTTGCATGTTATTTCATATAGGAATGCATCGTCCTGCACATTTACACTCCAGTATTTCAAGCTATGCGCTATTTGCAACATGTAAGGCGGTGGAGTAAGCTACTGAGCCTAGGGCTCGCCTGCTCTGTCTGCTTTTCTTTTCTTTTTTCTCGTCTTGCCTTTTTTCTTTTTGCACTTACCTCCAGTGAAGAGCTTGTTCACAGTGACTGGATCAACAGCAGCAACTGAGCCCAGCGCAGACTCATGGCAGAATATTCCAGTAAGATGGTGGCAGAGGAGTTGGTAGAGGGGTGATCATGGGACCCAGAATGGGCATCGGCGGCTGCTATGTCAACAGAGGCAATGTCAGCGAGGTAGGCCCACAGGTGACACATGGCACTGAGGAGCACCAACTACGACATTGGTTAGGTAAGGCACTGGCAGAAGCAAAGCACTGGTGGAATGGACATCACGGCGATGTCGGCAGAGAAGGCAGCATCTGCAGTCGGTGTCGGAATTGGAGATGTTGTGCTTCACATGTTTGTTCAGCAATGCAGTAGGCCCGATTTGGTACTGCTGGAATGGACTTTGATGTGGGGGCGATTGTGGGCCTGGAGCCCAGAGTGGAGAGAACCCCCTCCCTGCCCACCCATGTCATGTGGAGTATAAGAAGGAAGTTGACTCTGTGTTTACTTATGTTTAAGTCTTATTTCTTAATTTCAGTCTGAAATCTGAATATCTTCTGAAAGTCAAAATGGCACTGGAGCATGGCAACATATTACACTTTTCACTGTATTTTTTGGTTAAATACAGGTGACAATAAATCGTTCATTCAGTTTTGTGGGCAGGAAAATATGCACATGAACCTAATTCTTGTTCTGACATTGTCATTTTCAGGAATTCAACCACAACTTTAAGTGGGAATTTACTCCATATACCTGAAGCTGACGTATCTTAATGCATTGGTCACAATTTCTGTTTGAAAGGAATTTTTGCACAAGAGTCGCGTTGATGATCTGATCCAGCACGAAATGAATGCTCTCTTTATTATCTTGGTGCTGACAGTGAATTGCTTTTAAAAGTTATCATGATCGGTTTTCCATTTGAAAACAAAATTATCACTGAAATACTTATGCATTTTTCTTTCTCCTGACCTTTTCTGCCAAATCCCTCTTCTCATCCTGAAGCTATTGACTCATTCCTTGACATTGTTCAGTGGTTGTTCTCATACATGTCACTACTGGATGATTATCAGGAATAGCCAAGTTTCCTCTGCCGAACATCACAATGATGAAAGTTTTGTTAGTTTTGCTGTTGTAAACCAGCAATTGATCCAAGTTCCTGATTGTGGCTTCTAAATCATGATCAACAATCTCATTTGTTGAATTTAACACTTCCTCAATGATATTCTGTATTCTCTAGATTTTTTTTGTAAATACCTGTATTACTGTATTCTTATCATTTAGGATTACATGCTCTACTTGCTGAGGAAATGGCTTATTTCAGCCCAAGTTTACTTACATCCATTGCCAAATCAAGGTAAGATGATGAATCCTTGTTTTTATGGAAAAAAAGCGAGAAAATGTTAACTTGGAAACCTTGTGAATCAATTGGATTCTAATGAGATAAATAATCGGTGTCAGAACCATGAGGCTGCATAGATTTATACTGTATTAAACTATGATTGATAATCCTGATGTCTCCTGATTAAAATAGAGACAGGTGCGAATATTCTGCTGCAGTCTGTCTTGTGGTGTTCCTATCGTGCTGTTTGGTATTGAAAAGACGGTCAATTAATGTTCAAATTAGGATTGTGCACAATGTGGCAGTTGTGTAGCCCTTGTTGATTGTTGGGGTTGCAGGAAAGAGAGGTTCTGTTGAAGACACTCCCCAAGGTTACTCGAGAATATTCTTTAAAATCCTATTTACTGCAGTTACATTGCACCAGGGATGGAGAGTTTGAAATTTGAGGCCAATGTTCTGAATTTGTTTTCTTGAGTGTTCCGGTTGCATTTGTCCAGATTAACGATGAGTCACACTCCTAACTTCAACTTCAGAGATGATGGAGAGGCTTTGAGGAGTCAGGAGATGAAGTGCTTGCCACATATTTCTGGTCTCTGTCCAGATCTTGTAGCCATAGCCTTGAAATGCCAGATTTCGTTTGCCTTTGGCCAGTAGATTTTATTTTATTTGTTCATTGCATATGAGTGTCACTGGTAAGGTCAGCATTCATTGCCTATAGGGGAGACGTCAGAGGTAGGTTCTTTACTCAGAGAGTGGTAGGGGCATGGAATGCATTGCTGGAGAGGGTAGTGGAGTTGGCCTCATTAGGGGCATTTAAGCGGCTATTAGATAGGCATATGGGTGATAGTATAAGGTAAGGGTAGATACACCTTAGGTTTAGGGTAAAAGTTCGGCACTACATTGTGGGCCGAAGGGCCTGTCTGTGCTGTACTGTTCTATGTTCTATGTTCAATCTCTAACTGCCTTTGAACTGAGGGGCTTCCTCTGCCATTTCTGAGGGAAATTAAGAGTCAGCCACAGTGCTGTAGGTCTGGAGTGATGTGTAGGCTAAATCAAGTGAGGGTGACAGTTTTCCTTCCCTTAGAGACATTCATAAACGAGATGGGTTTTTATGACATTCTGAAGTTGTTACACAGTTACTTTAAGGCCATCTGAATCTGGTAGGATTCAAACTCAAGTTCCAGAACATTAATCTGAAATTCTTGATTACTAGTCCCACGATATTACCTCTGTACCACTATCTCCCTTAAATGTGAATTTTAGAAAACTTGTCAATAATACTGGGACTTCTTATTCGGTGCAGTCATTCCTTAGCTGTAAGAAGACATGAGCATTAATTCTTGAATGTCAGCCTTGTTGCAAGTTGGCATTGGTTGTTTCATTATTAGCGTAAGTGTGAATGGAGCTGGACAGATGGAATTGTCAGCTAACTGTTCGCACTTCATATAGGAAAGTCACGGGTGAAACAGTAGTGGGTAATTGGACCAAAGAGATTTTCCACAGCTGGTTAAGTGGGATTTGACAGCAGTTGAGCAGGAGGTCGAATAAACCGTGTCCTGCCTGATAGACCCAATGTACTCATTACCTGTGAGCACAGGGAGAAAGTTAATAGCGAGGACAGTGACAGTGCATCATGGCTTAGAAGGCTGTCTGCGTCGGTGATAGCAGGGTGGCGGCAGTGCAAATGACAGAATTGGAATTTGCAAACAATAATTAAGGGGATAGATAGCCTCTCTGCAGCCAAAAACAAGAATCCCAAAGGATGTGTCACCTACCTGGTACCAGAGTGAGGGATATCTCACAGTAGCTGGTCAAGAATTTGGAAATGGAAGGTATAGCTACAGTTCTTGTGATCGATGATGGAACAAATAAAGTAAGGAGGAGATGAAGCAGGCACTGTGCAAAGCGTATCAAGACTTAGACTCTAATTTAAAAATCTAGAGTGTTATTTCCAGTGTCACATGTAATTTGATGTAGGAGTATGCAGATCAAGACAATTAAGGTGTGGCTAAAGAGCTGGTGTGTGAATGAGGAATTTCTTTTTATTAATGTTTGGCAGCAGTTGAGACAGGAAGGAGCTGGACTGGTGGCATTGGTTCCCATGAACCAGGATGGGACCTGCGTTCTGGTAGAAAAGTCTTTGAAAGAGTAAGTTGGCAGCAGGGATCTATAAGCAGTCAAACTGCAAACAAAGCAGAACAGGAGAATACAGGAAAGAATGAAGTACGAGTGGACATTGAAGGAAGAAAAATATTACGTTTAAAGAATGGGTGTCAAAAACGGTTCAACATAAGTTGAGAGAAATGCAACTAAAAATAAATTAAAATGTTTGAACAGCAATGTATAGTTTACACAATACAACAGAATGGTGTTGTGGTGATGTCCGTGCCTCTCACCGTGGAGCAGCTGCACATATTCGGGACAACATAATGGTGGCTGAAAAAAGGGATGCAACAATCAGCATGACAGAAATGGAATTCATATTGGACATAGATCAAAGATAAAAATGGATCAATCACAGTTTTAGGTGTTGTACACAGATCACCTCATAATAAAAGGGAGATGGAGGAAGAAATACAGAGACAAACTGGAAAATTGTGTAAACATCATCAAATAATAATCATGGGCGATTTCAATTACCCTAATATTAACTGGACAGAAGACTTAAGCAAGGGAAATAAGGGAATGGCATTTCCATTGTGTATACATAAATACTTTCTCACCCAATATATAAAAACATAGCAAGGAAAGTTTGATTATTGGGTCTAGTTACTGGGAATGAAACAGAATAATTTATTTAAGTTTGGGAGCATTTGACTGTTCATTCAATGACAAAAATATCTTTTAAAAAAACCAGTTTCCACATTGGAGAAAAGCTGAGTTTGAGGGGCTAGAATGAGAACTTCAGAAAATTATATGAGCAATTCGCTTGGCAAACAGCAAGGCAAGGCTACACTGGGTGGTGGGTTGGTTGTTTTTCCAAACAGGGTAAACATATCCTGCTAAATACCAAGAAGCCACTTTTAACATTTGCGTGGTTCCATGGATGAATAAAGACAGAAAGGAACAACTGAGGTTTAGGGAAGAAGCATGCATCAACTGCATAAACAGCAAAACAAAAAATGCATATTGAGAGAAAATGTGAAAAGGTTAGGAGAGAAGTAAAAGTGGAAGGTAATAAGGAATACTTAAATTTTAAAGGAACATAAAATTGTGAAATATTTTACAATACATTAATAAATAAAAGGAGTCTGTGACGGTAATGAGACCATGAAGAAATAGTCAGGATTATTCCACAAGTAATGACAGACAGCAGAAATATTTCACATATTTGGCTTCATTATTTGCCAGTGAGATAGAACAGGAGACATGACATTAATGCTGGGATGAGTAAATAAGTTAGTTAATTTAAAAGAGAATAAAGGTGCAGTGAACTCAAACTCAAAGAGGCAGGAGGCTCGGTCCACTGCCAGAAAGGTAGTGCCACTCTCTGCCAGAAAGGCAAACTCAGTGATCATGGGGGATTTCAATATGCAGGTGGACAGGGAAAATCAGGTTGTTAGTGGATTGCAAGAAAAGGAGTTTGTGGAATGTCTACGAGTTGGCTTTTTGGAGCAGCTCATGGTGGAGCCTACAAGGGAACAGGCAATATTGGATTTAGTTTTGTGCAATGAGGCAGACTTGATAAGGGAGCTTAAGGTAAAGGAACCCTTAGAAGGCAGTGATCATAAGATGATAGAATTTACTCTGCAATTTGAGAGGGAGAAGATAGAATCAGAGGTAATGGTATTACAGCTGAATAAAGGCAACTACAGAGGTATAAGGGAGGAGCTGGGCAGAATTGACTAGAAGAGGAGCCTAGCAGGAAAGACACTGGAACAGCAATGGCAGGAGTTTCTGGGAGTAATTCAGGAGACACAGCAGAAATTCATCCCTAGGAAAAAGAAGCATAGTACAGGGAGGATGAGGCAACCGTGGCTGACTAAGGAAGTCAGGGCTAGCATAAAAGCAAAAGAGAAAGCATATAATGTGACGAACGGCAGTGGGAAACCAGAGGACTGGAAAGCTTACAAAGACCAACAGAGGGCAACAAAAATAGAAATAAGGAGGGAGAAGGTTAAATATGAGGGTAAGCTAGCCAGTAATATAAATGAAGACTGTAAGAGTTTCTTTAGATATATAAAAGGCAAAAGTGGACAATGGACCACTGGAAAATGACGGTGGAGAGATAGTAGTGGGGAACAAGGAAATGGCCGAGGAACTGGATAATTACTTTGCATCAGTCTTCAGGGTGGAAGACACGAGTAATCTACCAAAAATTCAAGAGAGTCAGGGGGCAGAGCTGAGTATGGTGGCCATCACCAAGGAAAAGGTGCTAGTAAAACTGATTGGCCTGAAGATGGATAAACCACCTGGACCAGATGGACTATGCCCCAGAGTTCTAAAGGAGATAGCTGAAGAGATAGTGGACGTGTTAGTGGTGATCTTTCAGGAATCACTAGAGTCAGGGAGGGTCCCAGAGGACTGGAAAATCGCTAATGTGACACCCCTGTTTAAGAAGGGAGTAAGGCAAAAGACGGAAAATTACAGGTTGATTAGCCTAACCTCAGCAGTGGGTAAGATTTTGGAGTCCATTGTAAAGGATGAGATTTCTGAATATTTGGAAGTGTATGATAAAATAGGGCAAAGTCAGCATGGTTTCATCAAGGGGAGGTCATACCTGACAAATCTGCTGGAATTCTTTGAGGCCGTAATGAGCAGGGTAGACCAAGGACAGCCAATGGATGTTATCTACCTGGACTTCAAGAAGGCCTTTGACCAGGTGCCGCACAGGAGGCTGCTGAATAAGATAAGGGCCCATGGTGTTACAGGCAAGGTGCTAGCATGGATAGAAGATTGGCTGTCTGGCAGGAAGCAGAGAGAGGGAATAAAAGGGTCTTTTTCAGGATGGCAGCTGGTGACAAGTGGTGTTCCACAAAGGTCAGTGTTGGGGCCACAACTTTTCACTTTATACATTAATGATCTAGATGAAGGAACTGGGCATTCTGGCTAAGTTTGCAGACAATACAAAAATAGGTGGAGGGACAGGTAGTATTGAGGAGGTGGGGAGGATTTAGACAGGTTAGGAGAGTGGGCAAGGAAGTGGCAGATGGAGTACAACATGGGAAAGTGTGAGGTCATGCACTTTAGTAAGAAGAATAAAAGCATGGACTATTTTCTAAATGGGGAGAAAATTCAGAAGTCTGAACTGCAAAGAGACTTGGGAGTTCTAGTCCAGGATTCTCTCAAGGTAAACTTGCAGGTTGAGTCAGTAGTCAGGAAGGCAAATGCAATGTTGGCATTTGAGAGGACTTGAATATAAAAGCAGGGATGAACTACTGAGGCTTTATAACGCTCTGGTCGGGCCACATTTGGAGTATTGTGTGCAGTTTTGGGCCACATATCTCAGGAAGGATGTACTGGCCCTGGAGCGGGTTCAGAGGAGGTTCACGAGAATGGTCCCAGGAATGAAAAGCTTAACATATGAGGAATGTTTGAGTACTCTGAGACTATACTCATTGGAGTTTAGAAGGATGAGGGGGGATCTAATTGAAACTTACAGAATACTGAATGGCCTGGACAGAGCGGATGTTGGGAAGATGTTTTCATTTGTAGGAGAGACTCGGACCCGAGGGCACAGTCTTAGAGTAAAGGGAAGACCAATAAGAACGGAGATAAGGAGAAACTTCTTCAGCCAGAGTGGTGAATCTCTTGAATTCACTGCTCCAGAAAGCTGTGGGGGCCATGTCATTGAGTACATTTAAGACTCAGACAGATAGGTTCTTGATTATCAACGGGATCAAGGGTTACAGGGAGAAAGCGGGAGAATGGGATTGGGGAGCTTATCAGCCACGATTGAATGGCAGAGCAGACCCGATGGGCCGAATGGCCTAATTTCTGCTGTTATGTCTTATGGTGTTATGGCATCCAGATATTTAAATGAATTAAAGGAAGAGATAACATAGATATTACTATCCATATTTAATAATAAATTACAAAAATGTTTAATGCCAGAGAACTAGCAGATAACTAATGAAATTCCTTTATTTATGTGAAGGGAAAGTGTATGTCCAGGCAAGTATAGACCAAAGAAAACCCAAAGAACTGCGGATGCTGAAAATCAAACAAAAACAGAAATTGCTGGAAAAACTCAGCAGGTCTGACAGCATTTGTGGAGAGAAAGCACAGTTCATGTTTTGGGGTCACTGACCCTTCTTCAGCAGTACAGTACCAAACCTGTCCTTCAGTTCTAAGAAGGGTCACCGGACCCCAAAACGTTCAGTGCTTCCTCTCCACAATTGCAGACCACTTAGGTTAACATTGGTGGAGGAAAAATAAATGAAATCCTATGAAAGGCAAGAATAGGAGAACATCTGGAAGTGAGATATATAACAATGAACACTCTCCATTGATTAACCTTATTGAATTTTTTTGAGGTGGAAGGGAGAATATTAATCAGGATGCAGAAGATGTACTTAATTTGCATTTTCAAAAAGTTTTCAACAATTTGCCTCAGAATCAACTGAGGAATAAGATCAGAAAATATGGAGTTGGGAACAAGTTTATATTATGGCTTGCTTGCTGGCTTCAAAGCTGAAAGCAGAGATTTGTGACTAAATAGCAGTTATTAACAGGGTTAAAAATGGTGTCTCACAAAGCTCGGACTGATGCTGTTCACTGTTCACAGAAGTGGTTTGGACTTTGGAATCAAATGAAATTTCTACATTTGTGCATTGCACCAATGTGGGAAGATTATAAACATAAAAAGTGTTCTACAAGTACATGATAAAATATTTTTCTGTGTTGAAATGTCAATGTTAGCCATGTACATTTCAAAATGTAATGCTTTTTGTTTAAAAACAGAGGAACATGCTGTTTCACACATAGCAATTTATGGACTTCAGTTGTGGTTCTCCAGGTCCGTGATTTTCATTCATACAGACTATATCCCAGAGATAGAGGACTTGGGAGGATCTGCCCTCTTCTCTCCTGCAGTTTACCACACTTACACTCTCCTTTCATACCTGTGTGCAAATACCACATGTCAGTTCGGTGTTCTCAAGTGAATAAAGAATCTTCCGATAAAAAAGAACAAAAGCCAGAGCCTGAGACAGAAGATTCACTTTCCCGGACAACTCAGACAGTTGTTGTGAAGCAAACCTGGAAGCAGAAAATTCTAAGTGAACTGAAACACTACTACAACGGATTCCGATTACTTTGGATTGACACAAAGGTGGCACTGAGGATCCTGTCAAGATTATTTGTTGGACACCGGCTTACCCGTAGAGAGAGGCGAAGGGTAGGTAGGATTTTACAGCTAAATTCATTTGGAAAAGGTGAACATTTTTACCTGTTTATTTGTGGTAAAATTCAGGTTTTCTAAATTTCCTTTTTCTTCCTGTCCTGTTCTGAACCACTTGGTGTCTTCCCTTGAATACCTCACCTGCATGGTCATTGTGCACGTGTCAGCTGACAGAACAGTGAGTCCTGCCCTTGCTGCAATACTCATGCATTTTGTCTTGTGTAAACTCTTCCAGCTTATACGAACATGTGTTGACCTCTTTCGCTTAGTTCCATTCATGATCTTTCTGATTGTGCCATTTATGGAATTTCTGCTGCCCGTTGTTCTGAAATTGTTTCCTGGGATGCTGCCATCTACATTTGAGACAAAAATGTCAAAGGTTGGTGGGATTATTTCTACACGAGTTTTCAATTTGATGGAATACTTTTAATTGTTGTGACAATATGAAAGATGCCAGTTGGGAAGAATGAGTGATTAAGAGAGGACTGGAGCAGAGAGTGGAAAAGATGGAACACAAATGATTATCTTGTTGATGCGACATAAAACTTTTCTGCTCTCAAGTGCCAGGTACTAAGAATAGGCTGAGGGATACTGTCCCTCTGATTAAATTCCTTCTATTAAAATAACTTCAGTTCAGCCAATTTCCACAGTGCAAAAAAGCAAAGTGAAGTACTGAGCACAACTTGGTCAAACTGAAAAAAATGCTGGCTGGTGAGTGCCATCACAGACATGTCAGGCCTCCCTGTTCAAAGAAAATTTACAATGAGGATTGTACCTTATCACTGTTTACGAATATGCTGAGTAGGTGTTCAGCACTGTAGCCAATTAGAATATTCAGACCAAGCTGCACTTTTTAATGTTTCTGAAAAGCTGCACATCATAGCACTTTGATCATGAAGTCATGATGTCACACTGAGGTAAAATACATGCAAGAATTTTGTCTCATTAGATTTGATAATTTCTTTTTCTAGGAAGAAAATCAGAGAAATACCTTGGCAGCAAAACTTGAGGTTGCAAAATTTCTCCAGGAAACTATTGCAGAAATGGCTAAAAGAAATAAAGCAAAGGGCGCAGAGGCAACCAAACAGTTTTCTTCCTACGTACAGAAGGTTTGCTTCAAACATTCATGCATATCTCTTATGAAATAACTACCAGATAATTCCCCATAAAGAGCTGGCGTGACCATTAGAAATCACCTTTACTGTACAGCTTATGATAGCTGGAGGCATGAGCAGAGGGTTATCCTGAAGAGAACAGTCTTTGTACTAAGGGGCACTGGAAAACCAAATCATTTGTAACTGCTAATTTTGAAGGGGAGAAAGTAAGCACGTAAACATGATTTATTTTTGTTTCACTTTGTTGAAGGCTTAGTTCAAGTAACCTAAACACCAACTCTTAAAGAATCCTATTTACTTTTTCATTTGGAAAGTCTTAAGAACGAGAAGACAATAAGAGATAGGTGCCTTGAGCCTGCTCCATCATTCATTTGAATCATGGCTGATCCGACACTGCACACTTCCACTTTCCTACCCTTTCCCGGTGACCCTTGAATCCCCACCTGATGGGGAAACTATCTATCTCAGCCTTACATATATACCAGGACAATGGCCCCACAGCTCTCTCTGACAAGGAGTTCCAAAGACTCTCAGCCCTCCGAGAGAAGAAATTCCCCTTCATCTCAGTCTTAAATTGGTGCCCTTTATTCTGAAACCATGCCTTCTGGTCCTGGACTCCCCCATGAGGGGAAACATGTTCTCAGCATTTACCCTATCAAGCCCCTTAAGAATCTTTTATCTCTCAATGAGATCATCTCATATTGTTTGAAACTCCAGGAGCAGGAGTCGGCAGTTCAGCCCCTTCAGCCTCCTCCGGCCATTTAATACGATCATGGCTGATCTCATTAATGCCTCACCTCCACTTTCCTGTCCACTCCCGTAACCCTTTAACCCATTATGAATTATAAATCTATCTCCTACTTAAATAGCTCACACCAGTTCTTCCTCCCTGACTCAAGCTGGGAGTGATTTCAATTTTCAACCATATGTATTTCTAATATTTTACTTTATTAGTCCACGAGATGTGGAAATTTGATGAAATGTGTGTGTTTTATTTAGAAATAGACATTGCCTTCATTTGCTGCTCATCCACCACAAACTAATTTCGGGAAAGGTCACATGCATTATCAGACAATTGTCTCAAATTTAATTTTGGTTTGTGTGTAAAAATGCACTTCAAATTCCAAAAAATGTTTATTTGTCAAACTAAGTTGGGACTTTGAAAATTCAATTCATTATTTTGGATACATTTCAAATCAGTGGAAATAACTTACATTTTGTAAAAGGTAACAGTGGAATGTATGAGGCTGAAATTTGATTACTTGTCCAAATTTTGAAGGTGCGTCGCTCAGGAGAAAGTCCAAGCACAAAGGACATAGTGCGTTTCTCCAAGCACTTTGAAGATGAATTGACACTGGAGCACCTGACCCGTCCTCAGCTGGTGGCACTGTGCAGGCTTTTGGAACTCCAGCCTTTTGGTACAAACAACCTGCTTCGCTTCCAGCTTCAGATGGAACTAAGATCCATAAAAGCGGATGATGAAGTAAGTACAAGATTACAGACAATATTCTGTCATTATGAAGGCAAAGATAATAGCTTTCAAATAAGCCACAATCCAGGATTTTTAAAAAAGTGGAACTTACAGCTTTAAAACAGTTAACACTTCTAGAAGTGTGGCGAAATTAATTTCGTGCAAAGGTGTTGACACTGAGTTATTATAAGAACTGAATTTCAAAGCATTTGAATCTTCTATGTAAAATAATTTTTTGTGTTCAGTAATTGGTAATCTCTGTTGTGTTTATAAATTACAGATGATTGCTGAAGAAGGATGTGAATTTTTGACTGTACCAGAACTACAGGCAGCATGCAGAGCAAGGGGAATGAGATCATTAGGATTAACAGAGAAACAGCTCCAAGATCAGCTCACACAGGTGATGGATATGGTGGAGATGTGCACACTTGTAATCTCATTGTGTAAACAATGTGCAAATGAAACAACAACAAAAGAATCCATTTTTAACACATTAAAGTAGTCATCCTTGAAAAATTCTAACTGCTTTACCTGGATGCAACCTCTTAATACTGCTTACCAGTCAAGGTCCATCAGGTTTAGCAACTGGGAGGAACAACTTGGCAGACTAAATGGGGCCAGTTTCATATTTCTCTTGATGATGTCACACTCAACATTGCTTTTCCAGGTGCAATACCAGCTGTAGCTCTGTTTTTCTTTTCACACACTGCAACCATATCATCCTTGTATAAATTAATAAAAAGTTCTAGGTACAACTGGGAAATAACCTGTATGGTTCACATTATTAGAAGGCCAAATGAATTTCTGTCTTCCAGCACTAGAATATGTTGTTCAGCTCAAATATTTACAGTGTGTTGTATGAAGAACAACTTCTCAATAGGAGCAGTAAGAACACAATTTCTTTTTAAGTTCCGCTTAATTACCATTCCTCTTAAATGCAAACGTGATATTTATGATATGAGTCTCTCAATATAAAAGAACAACTTTAAAAATGAATCAACTCCTTTTTCTGCAGTGGCTTCAGTTGCATCTGAAGGAAAATGTGCCTCCATCATTGCTGCTGTTGTCTCGTGCCATGTACCTGACTGATATCAAACCAAAAACTGTTATTCAGAAAGTGCCAAAAGTTGAGGTGACCCTTCTTCTTTCATGACTTTTCTTGCAAGATTGTATTAAAATTTAAATTGAAATTGTTATAAATCGCAGATCAGTGAAGGCAACGACCACAGAAAATGCTGGAGAGACACAGCAGAACTGGCACCATCTGTAGAGATAGAAACACAAGTTAGTGGAGTCAAAATCTGCTAAGTTTCTCCAGCAGTTTTTGAGTCTGTTTCAGACTTCCAGCATCTGCAGCATTTTTCTTTTATTCCAGTGGAAGCAATAGGATGCACACAGGCAATAATTTTGAATGTTCTAGCTATTCATCTAAACATTTTCATTTGGTACAGTTTTTTATTCAGTGAGGGGATGTGGGCTTTAATGGTTGGGCAGTATTTATTGCCCATCCTCAGCTGCTCTTAGGAAGCTGACAGTGAGTTGCCTTCTTGAATTGCTACATCAGCAGTGTTATTAGGAAGGGAGTTGCAGCCATTTGGCCAAGTCAGTCTGAAGGATAGGATATTTCTATATATCTTGTCGAATGGAAGTGCCATCTGTGCTATAATAATGCATATGTCTATTCTTAATGTGGATTCCAAATTGTAAATCTACGAAGAGTCAAGGTGAGACTTGTAAAATAAACAGGCAAGACACTTCAAGCTCCTGGCACATCTGTTTGAATCCACTTGATGTTGCTTTCAGAGCAGCCTTTGCGTAGATTTTTCAATTCTGGCAGGATAGCTGAGGTTTGAGAGGTCAAGAATATGAGTTATCGTTTTTCTAAAACACATGGGGAAAGCGGAACTTCAAATAAAATGTCATTGGGTGTGCTGATTTTGCTGAACAAAGAATGTCAGGAGTTTGTAGATGTACATTTAGTGAATACTTAGTTTAATACAATTCAACAAGATGGAATCAGTTTATCATTATATATATATCTGTTGTGGATTTTCCAGCTGGGTATTACTGGCACCCTGAAGAAAGAACCAGAGAAACAAACCACCACTGAACCATCAACCTTGCCATCATCGGATGCATTGTCTGACTTGACACCAACACTGAAAAGCATGAAGGTATGAATGTGACTGACTCAGTTCAATCAGCATCCAACTCTACTCAGTTTGTTGATGACACAGAACATTTTTGAAGATTCAAGCTCAGAGATAGATTGGGCATGGCCCAGGAGACAATGAGTGCCCAGTTCACATTGTAGCTCTGAGCTGGGGAAGACAAGGTTCCTCAGCTCCACCCCATTATCCAAACAAAAGGGGGCCAGAGACTGAGGCCTTCTCTCATCTCCTCCCCTGTCCGAGACCAAGATGAAATGGGGCAGGACACAGTGGGCACTGAGCTCCTTCCCTTGCTCTGAGTTGCAGAATATTGGGGGGGATGGTGAAGGCAGCTCCTCCTGCTGCTCTCAGCCAGGGAGGGGGCACATGGCTGAAGACAGTGGGCATTTAACTCCTGCTCTGAGTTGTTGTGGGCACAGACTGGAGGCCTGTGTTAATGTGTGATGCAGAGGAGGCAAGGCTACATCTCCAAGCTTCTGGAGTTTGCAGTCTCTATGAGCAGGAACTCACAAACACCCAGAGTTTCTTCTCCTGCACCTCATTTTGTCCTAGCTTGTGGCCACAGTTCTGCTCCTGGCTGCATTTATCCCATGTCCTTTCTAACCTCTGCCATTTCTCAGTCTGCAGATGGACAAGTGTCCCAAAAAACTAAGGCCTCTGCAAACGGTTCAGGATAAACAAAGTCAGAAGAACTGGAGAAATGGACAACCTCCTCATACCAGAGTACCTCTCATCTCAGTTGATTAGAACAACTCCACCAAAGGGACACTGTTGAGGACTGATTATACCATTGTGGTTATCAATACTTCTATCATGTACTTAGGGTTCAATCACTTTGCGGATGGCCTGGTAACGTGCACTCAAATGCTGCAACCAAAGAGCACTCATTTAAATGAGGAAAGGTAATGTGGTCAAGACAATACTCTAGATGTAGACGACTGGTTTGTTTTACTTGATGCAGGACAATGACACTTGACTGCAAACAGGGAAAACTACTTCTTCATTGCACAACCACACCATGTACAAAACAGTGTTATTATTCTGAAATATGTATGGCAGCAGTACAGGGAAAAACACAAAACTACACAGCCTGTACAATTTCTAGTTGATTTTCTCCTGTGACCTATTGACACTATTATATTTATAGCAGTGACAGCGGATGCCAACCAAAGTAATCAACACAGCACCACACTAACTGTCCACTGGTGCGTTGCATCATGGCACGCAGCCTGAGTGATGTGCTGAGGAAATACTGTCTGGGACAAAACCTGACCAGGACTGTGCAGGTACAGATACTGGATAGCAGGAGCTTTATGCTCAGGCCAAGAAGATAATACTTTTAACTTATTTATCTCGTGTATGTGGTCCTGTGTTTGTTGACACAGAGGTCTTTCTTGATCCATCATTGAATACATCACTACATTTTATAACAATGCCTATCATGTTTGGAATCAGTTGTTTTAGCTTTGTGACTTTCCCAAGCAGCAACTTCGCACAAATATCTGCCTTCCACTTCTGGATGTTGTTGGGAGCAGAGAGAATTGGCCCTGAAGTAATCCAAGCATCTGTCTATTCTCCAAGCTGCTATGGTGATAGGGAGCAAAGGACAAGAATGTTTATGAAAATGCCAAAACATTGTTGCAGTCTTTTTAAAGATGTGCAATGAGACCATCTTCTGCAATTGAAATGGGTGGAATCATACTTGCTCAGCTGCAACATTGGGGATCTAAAGATCCGCAGAGAAACTGAGCATCCTTCCATCACTGAGTGAAGATGAAGCATCTGACACTTATCTTTTGGAGGAGTTAACTCGAATGGTTGTTTTGTCCATGCATCTGGTTATGCCAATGATTGGAATTGCAGTTCCCAAATGCAAACACGCGGTCACTGAAAATAGTGAAACAAATTTCAATCAACACCTAAATTTTACTGGTTGATTGAATTTTAGCTATTTGCTCCTGTTTCGATGTCTTTTCTTTCAAAAGTAAAATGGTGACCAGATTATTGCTGTGTCATATGGTCAGCACTTTATGTCACCTCGTGAAATCTGGCAAAAGGACACTAAAATCTTTAGAATAATTCATTCTACCGTCCTTCAAAGCAGACAAAAATGAAGAAATATTGTTCGTCCACCATGAAGTCCTGAGCTGGAACAACCTCCAGTGAATGAAATACTAAGCAACACAATAAGAGCAGACAATGGCATTTAGCACAGATGACCCAAATATTAAATTTGAAACACCACCAAAGTCAAAGCCTTTGTGCATGGTTAGCTGTTGGTCAGACACAGAGAACTACTTCAGAAACAGGTCCTGTTTACACATTACCAGAAACACAATTCCACCTGTAACCCAATTAAAAACTATCTCAGCCCCCAAAAACATGGTGAAATAGAATGCTATAATATCTGAAACCTGACCACCTCTGACCATTTTCTGTTTAAACAGACATAGGTTGCCTGCTCCTTGATTAATGTGCTGCAGCAGTTATGGGTTACAGACAGGAAGGTTGAGATGAGACCACAATACAATGACCATGATCTTACTGAATTGTGGAGCCGGCCCAAAAAGCTAAAATGGCCAAACCTTGCCCGAAATCCCATATTGCTGTTTTCCTATGTAAAAAGACTGTCACATCACTTTGGAAATTTGTGTCCAAGATATGGGAAAACTTAATGACTGAAAGGATGGAGAGGACAGAGCTAAAGAAAAAGGGAAGTCTCTTCTTTTTTTGGAAGGCAGCTCGAGAATATTCCAGACTCATTTTCTCCACTGTCTCATCATCCCCAACCACCAAATTTCTCATGTAAAGACCATCCTCGGCCTGGGAGCAGAACCCTTCCCCATCTCACTATGATCAAGTTAAAACTCTGCTATGCCTCTTGTAACAAGTGGAAGCTGACTCCCAAGCAGAGAATCTACAGGGCAAAAATCAGGGCCAGTGCAGAATCAGAACTCTGCAGCATGCTGGGGGACCTAAACTTACAGGTTTCCCCATAAAAACCCTCAGCTGCTATCCCTCCACCTCAGCTTTCACGCCACAAAGTTGGAATTATTGAAAATACTAATTTTAGAGCTACTCTTCCATTTGTCCAAACTGAATGTAAAAGTTGATGCTTCTGAGGTGTGCCTTTACTCAGAGTCGTTAATTAATCCTGCCACATGATATTGTACGAAATCTCAGATAACCTATTTTCTGGTTGCTTCCACAGCATGTTGCCATAAGAAACACTCACAAAAGCATTCTGTGAACTCTGCACTCAGGCTACCTTTCCGAAGTGATTTTTTTCAGATTTTTTAGATTAAAATGATCCATGATTGTTGCTGTCCCTTTTCCATAAGCACCCAATAGTAATTCTGTATACTTTGTCCTACATTGTGGTTACTGTTAAGTGGCTTATAATCAACTCCTATGAAAGACTTCTGTTATAACCCCAGCTAATTTTACTACTGGAAAAGTGAGAGCTTCGAATGAGACCTGGATTAATTGATCATATTTTAGTTTTCTTTCACTGCAATTTGACGGACTTTCACTGAAATCTAAGCATATAAGGCTCCAGATGTGGTTGAAACAATAAAACAGAAGTTTATTACGCACATTAAAAAGCAAACAAAACAAGCTATCTGAATGTAGTCATTTGAAAGATTTCAAAATACACAGCAAACAAAATATCAACTGCAGCCTAGCATCATCACTTTACACTTATTCAAAATCTAGCACAATTCTAGGTTTTCAATGAATTGTTTCTTTTCTATCCTTGTCCTGGGAGCTGTGAGGCCTTTTCCCTTCACATAGACAACTGACAGCTCAGGTTTCTTCAGTATTTTAATGATCCTCAGAATTGTAACCAATTCTTCCTGATGTGGAAGTTTTACAAACTATACTCCAACACTGTGCTATCTTACTTCTTTAACTGCTCTAAACAATCTCCTGTCTTAGGAGAGACCATACTTGCTTTTGATCCCACTTTGGCTCCTTCATTCTGAACCCAAATGCTTTTAAAGTCAATTTTAAGAACTTGTTCATGGTTGATTCTGCGACAGCTCATGTTTTCTCTCTCCTGTCATAAACCCTCAGTATTATAAACAAATTTCCATTCACTCTCCAGGGGTCCTTGCAGTTGCCTGGACTCTCTGTCGGTCCGGAAAGACTGACCTTCTTAATTTTTAAACCTCTTGCCATAAATAAACAGCATTCATCAGAACTACTGAGAAAAGATATACATGTAAATCACATATCTTTCACACTTCTTTCCCCTACTATTCTTCAACTCCATTCAAACTAATTCTCCATCCTGCTCTCTTGAACCAGTCATATCCAACAATTGCACTGATGTTGTCTTGGATGAACAATGCTGGCCCAATCCTAATCCTAGGAGTCACCTGATAACACCAGTCATGGATTTGTTGCCTTATCGTGATAATCAATTCATAACAAATACAAAGATTATTCCAGAATTCAGGGACCTCAGCCAGCTCCCAAGCACCTAATCTAACACCCAACCAGACATTTGCGACATACCTTGTTTTGATTCACGAAGCTATTCTGTCTCATGCATTGTAAATGCACTGCCAATAGCCCAAAGAGGAGGAGATATAGGTCATTTTGAGTTGTATCTACTACAGACTAGTGCCATGACTAACTTTCATCTTCAGTCAAGCCAACATCTTAGCAATTGCCTGTTTGTGTTCTACATATCAGCCATTATGGACAGAGAGAACTGTGCTACATTAATGCTGAAACTGGATCGTTTGTATTGTGGCTTGACATTTCCCATGGAGTTCCAAGGATGTGGTAGATTGGAACCATGTACTGCACTGCATATTTATTGGCTACACTCGAAGATCTGAAACTCATCACCCACAGTTACCTAAGATAGGCCATTGATTATTCTCATGTAATTTTCAGATTATTTACTGAAGTTTATTGAGAAACATCAGTTTTAATGTGATACATTAGCTTGAAACACTTGTTGACATAACCTGTTTCTGGGGTTTGGGTGTTTACCTTGTCAATTACTCATTTGAACTGTTCATTCTGCTGGATCCAGGACCAAGAACCCAGATATCAGAAAGTCATCCTTGGCATCCCCAACCCTCACTTTGCACACCTTCCAGTTTGAAGTCAGTTTATGTTATGCCAGGAACATATCCTGGCTCTTGCTAAACACTTGCATTGGAAAGGGAGTGAAAAGGCACACTCCTGGTACCTTGGGATGTCACCATGGAAGGCTAACCCAGTTTAGTCACATGTTTCCAAGGAATCAAAGTGTTGGAAATAGAAGTAGTGGATATTTGAAGCATGGGTAATTACATGTGCTTGGTCAGAGTATGAGCAGCAAGCAAAAGTCACCAATGAAGGGACCAGACCACGATCGGAACATGTCTAAAAAAGAGATAGTTGAAAGGTATCGCTAATAAAAAGCACCACCTTGTATCCAGAAGTAAGTCAGAAGTTGAAAAGTCATGGTGGATTTAGATGGACATCTTGGCTCGCTGCTGAGTCTGCAGGACTGTCTCTAGCAATGTCCATTTCAGATTTTAGGACTCAGTTTGCATTTAGGAGCCTCAAGTGTACCAAAGCTGATTCAGCATTCGCTCAGTGTCCAGATCAAGCAATGACTGAAATCCATGCTTTGTGAAATGAACATTCAAGCCATAAGTGCCAGTCAAGGAACATCTTCATCAAGACAGAATCTAAACTTAAACTGCATTCGCATTGCTGAACCCCTGTGATCAATATCATGGGTAATCATTGATCAGAAACATAAATGGACAAAAGGTGTAAATACTACGGCAACAACAGTAGATCTGACGTTGTGAATTCTAAGCTTCATGTTCTCACAACCTGACTCCCCAAAACCTGTCCAACATGGACAAGACACAAGTCAAGAGTGTAATGGATTACTCCCCACTTGCTTTGAGAAACTGAACCCTATCCAAGACAAAGCACCTCACTTGATTGGCAATCCACTTTCACCATTCACTCTTTTCAGCAGCGGCACACAGTCGCAACAGTGTCTAATATCGACAAGATGCACTGCAGCAATTCACCAAATCTCCACACTTAAAATCTCTACCGATTAGAAAGACAGTGGTTGCAGATGCATAGCAACACCACCATCTAT